CAACCTAGATTTGATCCACCTTCTCGTAGGACCATTGCTAGAGATGTTTGGTCTCTCTTTCAAGAAGAAAAGGCAAAACTCCAGAGTGTCATATCTCAAAATTCACAAAGAGTTCTCTTACCACGGATACTTGAACTTCACTACAAAATGTGAATTATATGGCTCTCATAGCTCATTTTATAGATGATGGCTAGAATTTGCACAAAAGGATCCTAAACTTTTGTCAAATTACAAATCATAAGGATGATGCCATTGGGAGACTTGTAGAAAATTATTTTGAGTGATTGGGGCATAGAAAAAGTATTCACTATCACACTTGACAATGCAACCGCTAATGATGGTGCTATTAGGCATATGAAGAGGCAATTGGGTCAATGGGGCACTCTTTTTGTTGAATGTGGACTTTAAACATATGAGATGTTGTGCTCACATCACTAATTTGATTGTGTTTGATGGGTTGTGTGAGTTGAATGATTCAATCAAGAGTATTCGGAAAGTTTGTATGTATACAAGATCCTCACCATCTCGATTGGACAAGTTTAGGCACTGTTTGATGTTGCAAAAGATTGATAGTAAAGGTCTATTGCCTTTTGAGTGTAAAACAAGGTGGAATTCAACCTATGAGATGCTAGAGGCCGCCTTAAAATTGAAATAAGGTTTTGAGAGGTTGGAAGAGGAGGACTCAAACTTTTCATCTTACTTTGAGGAAACCCTTGGACACCGTGAGGATGAAAGGCCAAAAAAGAAAGAAAAGAAGGCTTGAAACGCAAGGGAGTTTAAGAACAAAATTGAGTCCCCCAAGTGTAGTGGATTGGAAATATGCAAAGGTTTTTGTGAAGTTCTTAGGTTTTATGAGGCTACCTTAAAGCTTAGTGCTTATAAGACGGTAACTTCCCATGTAGCCTTCCATGAGATGTACTCTATTGTTGATCTCTTGAAGAAAATGATGACAAGTGATGATTCTTTAATGAAAAAGGTGGTCACTTCAATGAAATCCAAGTATGACAAGTATTGGGGTAATATTGGGGATATGAACCAACTCCTAATAATGGCTGTGGTTCTTAATCCCCGTTACAAAGTGGATTATGTCCACTTTAGATTTGGTGATTTGGAAGAGGATGCTTCCAAAGTTAATGCGATGATAAGTGGGGTAAAGGATCTTGTAATGAAGTTGTACGAGGCGTACACGAAAGAAGATCCAGCTGTTGCCCAAGCTTATGTGGAGGCTAATTTTGAAGGTGTGGGGGAAACAAATATTGTTGACAATGATGAAAGGCTTGAAAAATTTATGAGATCAAGAAAAGAGAAACATGTGGTCAAATTGGGAATGAAGTTGATAAATATTTGGAGCCTCCTGAGAATCCTAAAAATGCTGGGTTTAATTTGCTGGATTGGAGGAAAGAAAACCATCCAAGGTTTCCTGTTCTATCTAAGGTTGCAAAGGATATCTTTGTTGTCCCTGTGTCAAGTGTTCTATCAGAGGCTGCCTTTAGTGTTGGGAAAAGAGTTGTGGATCCTTTTCAGGCTTCTTTGACTCCAAAAACAGTGGAGACCCTTATTTGCTCCAATGATTGGCTAAGGGCCGCTGGCTTTAACTTCAACAAAGAACCGACTGAAGATGAATTGGAATTTTATATTACTTTGGAGAAAATGGAGAAAGGTAAGGGCTGCTTTCTTGCTTTGTATTGTTTTTTTTCTTCATATATTTAGTTTTGCTTTAACTTTGTTTATATTAATTTATGTTTTTCAATGTGGTAGAAATGGAAACATTGCAAATGGTTGGAAAAGAAAACATATGTACCAATCGTTCTGTCTCTACCTTAAATTGAAGACTTTGAGTCCTGTAGTAGCAGCAACAGCAGTCAAGAAGAAGGACCATTAATATGTTCCATTACATTTCTTGGTGATATTTTGTTTTTGTAATGTTACTTCAGCAACAACAGTCAAGAAGAAGGACCATTAATATGTTCCATTACATTTCTTGGTGATATTTTGTTTTTGTAATGTAATGGAACATATTAAACTACCCTTTGTTTTGTTTGTTAAATTAGGGTTGACTACTCATGTTTTTGCCTTTAATTTGTAATTGCCATAGTGGATGTGAACTAGATGAATGGCCAAATTAATGGCATGAATATTGCATGAAGATATTGCTGCTTTGTAATGGGATTGAACCTTTGATTTGATGATGGATATTTAGGAGGATGAATGGATGCCCAACCTTTTGCTATGTATGAGATAGATGGAATGTGCTTAAATATGATTTCTAGCTGCTCAGGTTTGAGTTGAATATCATGTTTTATGTTGAAAGAAATGGGCATAATTTGAAGTCAACAAAACTGCCCATTTACCCCAAACCAAACCGAACCGAACCATAAAGTCCGGTTACCCGAAGTGTTCAGTTTTTCACTTATGTGGTTCAAGTTCGGGTTGGAAAAAGAGCACACCGAAAGCTTCGATTCGGTGTTCGGGTTGGATCCAAAACCGAACCAACCCAACCTGAGCCCAGGCCCAGTGCCCACGAACCCCAATGAATTAAGAAAACATCTAAACATAAGTTTTGAAATAAATGTACACATGTTAAATCCTCGAAGTTGAAATAGATATGTTGATAACTTTAAAATCTCAAATAGGAAGTTTTTGAGTGTATATGGCACATCTCAAAAATCTGGACACGTACTTTGAGGATTTCGAAAATATAACACCTATGTTCCAAGTGTTATACTCCCAAAATATATTATGCTCTTTTTATTTAGTTAAAACGGATTGGATCAGAGTTTTCATGGCAGCAAAAAAACAAAAAAAACTCTATACATAATTTTAATTCGAAAAGTAACAAGTGGTAATGGAATAGTACCAATAACCTCAAAGGTTATTTTACAAACCAGAAAGTAATCTTCACTCCGCGATATTCAAAGGGTTGTGATTTACACCAGAAGCTGCACTAACTCGTAATATTTTGAGTTTTTCCTTGTGTTTGTCATTTATGTTTTTTTTTTATTAATGTTTTTATTTTTGTTTATATGTTTTTTATTTTTGTTTTTGTGGTTATTTATGTTACTGTAATACATTCAGCCTTTTTGTTTTATGTGCACATTTTCCGTGAAGGTTACTCAACATATATATATATATATATATTTATAAAATATACAGAGAGTTTCTATTGAGGGATCCCTCAAATTAGCTTATTTGAGGGACACCCTTGTAGGGCCCACTCCGTATTGTATTTCACTAATCCAAACCGTCTATGTTTTAGATAATCATTCAAAGATCATCTCTAGAAAAAATCACTTGAATCCGATATCGTTTGACCATTCAATTGTGTTATAGAAATTTTAGTACTTTCTTAAAGTCCATTTTCATTGATTTTGTAGGATATAATTGGATGTCGAAACGGTTTCCAATTTGTCTAATTTTTTTGTAAGGATGATCTATGAATGTAGACTTAAAAAATATGGTATGGATCGTTGGAAAAAAAATTGCAGGGTACCCTAAAAGGTGTCCCTCAATAGAAGGAGACTATATATATATATACAATTATTCTCTTATCCGGATGTCCGCACGTTATTATCGTGCGGATCCTATTGTAAACAGGCAGGAAAACAGAGAGGGGTAGTACAAAATACACGGCATCCGTAAGATAATAACGTCCGAATGTCCGCATAAGATATATATATATCGATACAAGACACATAACCAAATAAATAATTTGGGTATAATTTTGGTTATGTGTTATCAAAATAATAACACAGTTCAATTATTTGTTTATAATGTTTAATATAAACCTGTAATATGAGTTATCACAAGTTTGATATTATTTTCCTCTTGCTTTCTCTATTATTCCCTCTGTTATTTTCTTTGTGTTCAATGTCTATAGGAAAAAGTGAAAATTTGTGTATGTATTTATCTTGTGTTTATGAATCTTTTCATTGTGTAAATCTGTCTATAGGCTTGAAAATACAAAGTATAGAAGGAAGTTCTCAAACTCCTACCATTAACACATCTCTCACCAACCCAAATGAAAGTCTTAGTCCTATATGTACCATTGCTACCACTGAGCCATTAGTTTAAGGGGGAACATCTACACAAGACACAAGACACAAAACCAAATAAATAATTTGGGTATAATTTTTTATTTTTATTGGATATAAGTGATATTAGGAGTGGGAGAATTTGAACATAGGACCTCGGGTGCATAAGTTTACGGTTCTTAACCTCTTGAACTACAATCCGTTTGCAATTTGGATAGAACTAATTATACGTTGAAAAAAACATAGAATTTGGATAAAACTTTAAATTTCATATGAAGTTTGCCCAAAAATATACAACTATCTGCCTCACTATCACAATCACTAACTAGACTATTAATTGTAAATTAAGACCCTTTTAACTGGGCTATACCAAATTTACAAGTTCCTTTCCTATGTCCTTTAAACCTATAGGTTAAAAGCATTTACATTGGTGTTCAAACTTTTTAGATGCATTATCTTCAACTCTCGCATCTCCAACCACAAAAATTAGAAAAGGAAAATAATATGAAATTAAAAAGTAAGTGAGAGACAAAGAGATATTTTTAAAGTTGGCAAAAGCTAAGGGACTTCCCAACCCAAGCATGCACCTCACTCTTTCTATCGTACTCAATTATTTAGCCCTTTGGGGTGGAAGCAGACGTTTCCTCGTCTTGCAGCTGTTTCCATCTCCTACCCCACTTTCCTTTCATTTTTTTTAATTTCACATCTCTCTATCTCTCACTATTTATCATCCATTTAAAAAAAAAAAGAAATTTCCATAGTTTCACATCAAACGTGCCTGCATCAATGACTTGATGCTGGAATTTTCTTGTTTTTATCCGTGAAACAAAAGAACCTAACCAAATACACTGCATGAAAGATAAATAAGAGACTAATGAAATTTTTTCAACTTGTTTATTTTAATTCCATAAAAAGAATATGAACCTAAATATATAGTTGTATGCATTATTTATGCACTCTATTTGGGTGAGAATAATGATTAAATTATATAGAAAAAGGAAAAAGAAAATGAGGGGTATCTTATGTGGTGAAGCTTTATGAAAGCCCCATCTGTCTTTTATTTATTTATTATCATTTTCAGCAAGAGAGAGAATTGCAGGAGATGGTGGTTTGAGTCTGACAAGAGCTAGCAACTCCAAACGAAAGCCTAAAGAGATTTTGTTATGTAAATAGCTCCGATGACGATAGTAGACTGTTAGATCCACTGACATGTACTTCTCAGATGAAAATCCATCAGTCCATCCACTCGTGTCTGTTTCAACTTTCAACCATAATTGGATGGTACAAAACTCGAACTCCCTGTTCTCTGCAAAAGGCCCTTGATGGGTTCCATATATATAATTTCCATTTTTTCAATTTTTTTCAGTCTTTTTTATAATATTACTTTAAATTTGTTATGATCTTTGATGCGCTTTGTGTCACTAGCTACTACTTTCATCATCATCTAGCTATGGAATCCTTGAAAGTCTTCTCTCTCTCTCTCTCTCTAAATTTTACATATAGTTCGTGGTGAACTTCACCCCTCCTTTTCGCAGAAGTTTTCTGGGTCTAAATAAAACGACTCTCACTATTTTAGGCAGATATAATTTGAGGTTTCTGATTCATGGGTTTTCTTGGCTTGTTTGAGATCTGCAGATTCTTGTTACTTTTTTCTCCAGGATCTTGCTTGTTCAACAATTTGCAAAGGACCACTGATCAACCGATATATATTGCTACCGGCTGGATCTTGCATATTAATTAGGTCTTGATGTTATATATGTCCGTACAAAGGAGAGCTTGAAGTACTTACTCCATGGCAACGTTCTTTCACCATGGAAGCTCTGAAATCCAAGCCCCAACTGATCATGCTCTCCAGACACTTTATCTAATGAACCCCAATTACGTGCCATCCTTCTCTGACAGTGGCCAGCAAAACCCTACACCTCCTAGCATGCTTCTTTTCAATCACACTCCGCCTCCAACAACCCACCACTTAGTCGGCATCCCGCTTCACTCGGCCGCCGTTGGATCAAACAATTCAGACGATCACAGCCCTCCATCCTTGCAGCACCAAACTGATCCATCTCGGGTTCACTACAACTTGTGGGGCCCAATGGGTGGCCAAACCCCCATCGGAGTCTCCGCGGTGTCCCCCACAAGTGCAACTACTCAACAAGGTTTGTCTCTCAGCCTCTCAACTCATCAGCAGCCAGGTTATAATAGTAACTACAGGCCATCATCATTTCCTGCCGAGCGTGATGTCCCGGCCAAGGGGACTTCTCTGTCGTCGGTGTCGGCCATATCACATGGATTTTCAGGTGTGCTTTTGGGGTCCAAGTACTTGAAGGCTGCACAAGAGCTACTGGATGAGGTTGTTCATGTTGGAAAGGGAAGCAACGCCGCCGAATTGGACGGTGGGATTAAAGATAAGATGAAACTGAGTCGAGAAACAACGGCTGGGATTGGAGCTAGTTCGAGTGGTGGTGCTAAGCAAGGAGCTGAGCTTAACACAGCACAGAGGCAGGAGCTCCAGATGAAGAAAGCAAAACTTGTCAGCATGCTTGATGAGGTATTATTAAATTCTATGTTCATTCTTTTATTAAATTTTTCGCTATTTTTGTGTTTTGATTGGTCATATTGATTCTGTAAAGTTTCATTTGTTATGCACGATTGTTTTTGATGTCTTATGCAATTTATCCAAAGATGTAATTCAACCACACTTCCAGTGAATGATTGAATAAGAAAAAACACACCTGGCACTTAGACAAGAGTTGGGCAGAATTGCCATAAGTCGGGCCTATAATTATTAGCTCTAGTTCCGCTGGTGGGTCCAATACGTAAATGTAACCACCTTTGTCAAAGGAATCTAATTTACTAATTTGTGTTTGGCTTATGATTATTACACCACGTTTAAGAAAAGAAAAGGTTTAAGATGTTAATTAACTCGATTCAAGAAAAATGAAGAAATTATTGTGTGTGACGATAATATGACGTGGATGAGAATTGAAAAGTAGCCACTTGGTGGACTATAATACTCATAAGTTTGATAGGGGAGGAAAAAGAAAAGGAGAAAAGGAAAACGAAAGTTGGAGCTTGATTGCAGTGGGTGGGTATCTGGGACCATTGTGTCTGTTTCATATAGTTACCAAACTTTCCTGCTGACCCCTTCATTAATTAATGTATATATATATTTTCTATAATACAAACATATGTAATAAAAAATTAGTACGACAGAAATGAACTAAAGTGGGTCTTTTTCTTTGTCACCTTTTCGTACATTTGGTTTGTTTGCAGTGAGTTTTGGTCTCAACAGGGTCCATTGGCCAAAACTGTCATGCAGCTCTGTAAATATGCTAATTTATTTATTTATCTGTCTTTTTTTTATGAAGGTGGAGCAACGATACAGACAGTACCACCAACAAATGCAGTTTGTGATCACTTCATTCGAACAAGCCGCAGGTTTTGGTTCAGCAAAATCGTACACTCATCTTGCCCTGCAGACAATCTCCAAGCAATTCCGGTGCCTCAAAGACGCAATATCAGCTCAAATCAAAGCCGGCAGCAAGACCTTGGGTGAGGAAGAATGCTTGGGTGCCAAGATCGAGGGTTCAAGACTCAAGTACATAGACAATCATGTAAGGCAACAGCGGGCATTGCAACAGTTGGGAATGGTCCAACATAATCCCTGGAGACCCCAGCGAGGATTGCCTGAACGAGCTGTTTCCGTTCTTCGAGCCTGGCTCTTCGAGCACTTCCTTCACCCGTAAGTACTTTTTGAATTAATTCGATGCTTCAGTCGTGCTAAAAACCCTAACAAATTTCCAGTTCGGTCTAGTATTAAATTCTAGTACAGTTTATAGGACGTATCAAACTAACAAATTTCTAATTGGGTTTGTAGCTATCCCAAGGACTCAGACAAAGTAATGCTGGCAAAACAGACTGGGCTTACAAGGAGTCAGGTAGGTATTTACAAGGTTGTCATTAAAGTTTTGCAACGTTTAAGGCCATAGACTGATTAAAGTTACAAAGCAGGTCTCTAACTGGTTCATTAATGCCCGAGTTCGTCTTTGGAAGCCAATGGTTGAAGAGATGTACGTGGAGGAGACAAAGGAACAAGAGAAAAATGGTTCCAGGAACAATGCAAATTACAAGGAGTCAGGTTCAACAACTCCACGAGAGAGTGCTTCCACTAGAATTGATGATCAAATATTCCGGTCGACGCATGAAAACTTTAGCAACCAGCATCCTTCTCCAAACGAGAAGTCGAATAATTCTTCATTGTCAGCGTCTCCCATGGCAGGGTCTCTTCAATCACAATCAGGATTTAACCTTGTGGGAATGTCCAACATGCAAGGAAGTACCAAGAAACGAAAGAGTTCTGAAATAGAAAATTCTCCAAGTAGCATTCTTTCCATGGACGCCGACATGAAAGCTAACGAAACAAATAGAGAAATCACTACAGATCATGCCAATGGTTTTGGCACATACCCCATTCCGGAGATAGGAAGGTTTGATATGAATCCGGAGCATTTGGCACAAAGATTTCATGGAAATGGTGTATCCCTCACTCTAGGCCTTCCTCACCGTGAAAACATCTCTCTCTCAGGAACACAACAAAGCTTTCTCTCCAACCATGGCCAGATTAATATTCATGATCAGCTGGGAAGGAGATTTAACACAGGAGGAGAAGCTGATTTTGGTGCAATCAACCATCCACAACCTTCACATTCCGGCATCGGTTATGAGGACATGGACATGCGAAGCAGAAAAAGGTTCGCTGCTCAATTGTTGCCAGATTTTGTGGCCTGAGGGGAATATTGTGCACGCATTTTGTTGCCAATGTTTCTCCAATATCACATTGCCACTGTATAGAAGGAAATGATAAGAAATTAGTATAGAATATAACTGATCGTGAAAAACGACCTAGCTATAGATAGAAGTTATTACTTTGCTTGGATATATTAAAATAGGTTTGGGGATTGTAAAAGTTGATACCGTTAGATTCTAGGCAAGCTGAGACTTAAAAGATTCCGTACATATGCAAATTTAAATTTTTGTTTGTGCAATAATTGTAAGTTTTCAATTACTGTAGAAGGTGGTATAATATATGAAGCAGTACAATAATATGGTCTCTCTAGCATTTTCAATTTCCTGTTTATGTAGTCTTATTTTTTATATTTTTATATTTTGATTACAAGCGATAGTCTAAATTAAAGAAGGGGGATTTCTCACACACACAACTAAGATGTCATGGGAGTTCGAACTTGAAAGGCAAAAGTTAATCCGGAACCTAGTTGAGCAGACAAAAGACTATGAAAGAGAACATACAAACGCTTAGGCCAAAATGGGTTAGTAATATAATCCACACCTTTTAGGTTGCATTAAGTGGAACGCTTTGTTGTTGTTTTGTTATTTCTTGATCTTTTCACCTGGTGCAGGCCTCCATTTGTACGTAGTGTTTGCCTAATGATTTCTTCAAGTCATACAATACACTATTTTAATATAAAAAAACGTTATCACTTTGTATTATTTATTCAAGATGAAGACAAAAAAAAAAAATCATACCTCATTATCATCGAAGCCCTGATCGTCCACCATGCCTTGAAGGAATTGAGTTCTTCCTTTCCCTAATATGCTTTTGGCTTAAACAATCTGTATTCTTCATATGTAGTGTGTCCTGTTTTCATTTCCTTTCAAGGCATCAATATGGAAAAGCTTCCCCGTGACGTTGCCCTCGACATATTTTCCAGGCTGCCAATCACTTCCCTAATGCAAATCAAGTGTGTGTGTCGATCTTGGCGTGCCTTAGGCAAAGACCCTCGGCTCCTTATAATGTACCAGGCCATAGCAAATAAGAGAAACCCATGTCTCATTCTTCACTGCGATTCTCCCATTCAGAACAATTTACATTTCGTTGAAAGCAGCCAAATTGGACATCATGAGCACTACACGAACAATGCGAGAAGGATCAATGCACAAATCCGATATGTTGCACCCGAGTTCCATGTTGTTGGTTCGTGTAACGGCCTTTTATGCATCTCCAACGCACTTTACTTCAACCCTCTTCTGGTTTTCAATCCTTTAACCACAAATTATATTCGGCTGCCAAACACAACCCAATACCCCAAACAACAAGAAGTAGCCTTTGGATTTGGTTTCCACCCCACCACAATGGAGTACAAGATTGTTTGGATATCATACTTAAACAACACCTACCAAAGTCACCAGCTGCCTCTACAGTCCCGTGTCCAAGTTTTAACTCTTGGCTTGAACGCTTGGAGAATTTCGGTCTCTCCTCGTTGCAAGCTTGAGCAAGGATCATCCGAGGCATTAGTCAACGGTAATCTTCACTGGGTGACAACGCGCCACAAACATCGACCCGGTCCTTGTTTGCGTATTGTTTGTTTTGATTTAGCTGAGGAAAAGTTTAGGGAGATTGAGAGTCCGGGATGTGGAAGTCTTAACATTTGCAATTTTCATCTTGTGGTCTTAGGAGGGTGTCTCTCTGCTGTTGTTTGTCATGATGATGGAAAAATTGATATATGGATGATGAAAGAGTATGGTTCAAAGGAGTCTTGGACCAAGGAATACGTAATTGGGGAGAGTTTGTTTAGAAGCTTAAGCGAAAGAAGAAATTCTCGTCCAAGCTCAAGAATATGGAAGAGGCCAACTCTAAGCAAAGGTAAAATACAGGTTTTATGCTCTCTGAGGAATGGAGAGATATTGTTAGAGTATGAGAATGGAGTCTTGGTTTCATATAACACAGAAAGCGAGGAGTTTCAACAACTTATGATTCATGGACTTCCCAAGTGGTTTTGTACAATTGTTCATTTTGAAACCCTTTATCCCGCAGATGTAATTCTTCAAATGCAGCTATAGGAACCAGTACTAAGGTTACGGTTTTCTTATTCAGTGATCAGATTATATAGCACTCTTAGCTTTTTTTTTTTTTTTTTTTCCAAGCACTCTTAGCTTTCAAATGATAGGGAGGTTTTTAATTTTTTAAATTTATTTTGGTAGTTCAAATGAATCAGTCATTTGATTTCTGTGATATTTCATGTTTCATTTACAATTATAGGGTTATTACCTTCGCAAATTACAATTCACTCCACCTACTTGCTTTCCCGTTTTGAAGGTTCATTTCAAGGTCCAAAACTGATATGATATACTTAAAAATAATAATAATAAGAATATGATATTCTACTTCTAAAATATAGGGTTTAGGACTAATCATATTCTGCCGTTTTGCTAGGTGAATAAAATGTGCTATTATTTTGAAAAATTCATGTAAGCCACAACCTAGATTACTTTAATTTATGCAACGGAAGCTATTTAAGAGATATTGAGCTTCTATTATATCTCCCAAACTCTAGCCGCTCTCTCCATTTGTGAGTCCTAAAGGAAAATTCCATAGAGGGGGGAGGAGGAAGAAGCGTCACTGCCCCTCCTCCCCCTCTTCTCCTCGTCTTTTCCTTTTAGGTTAGTGAATAAGTCCACTAGGGCGTTTTGAATAAAAAGCCTATTGTGGTGGTTTCTTCTAAGCTATGGTTAGATTGAAGTTCCCTATCACCCCTTTTAGTCTATGTTCTCAATCAAATCCTACTCCTAAAACCCGCTCCCTAACGTCGCTCATGTTCTTTAAATTTGATTCTACATCGTCTTTGATGGAGGTTGCTGCAAATCACCCAATTGTTCTTTGGCAAAGTTGTTGTTTTCGTTTATTTGTTCGCTCTTATGTGCAGGTAGGATTGCCAGAAATCATATTTTCCCTTTGTTACGGATGCGGTGGTGGGTGTGGCCGCGATGGCGCTTCTTCAGGTGTTGGTGGTAGGGTTCGTTTAGGCTTATGGGTTGATTTAAGGTTTTGGTTATGTTGGGTTTGTGGGCTTTGTTTGGGCTTATGACTAATAGTAGTGATGTGGGCTAGTAGTTTTAGTGCGGCTTTTGTTCACGTTAGTTTTGCTTTTAGTATGTTAGTTTGTTGCTTTATTGGGATTGATATTTTAGATGTCTTGTTGATGTCTTTGATTGTACCATTGAAGTTTATCTAATGAAGTTTCTATTTGATCAAAAAAAAAGAAAAAAAAAGAAGAAGAAGAGATATTGAGCTTAAAAATTATAAAATTCATCACAGACTAAGTATTGAATGTTCCATGACTCTCTACCACTACTCTTTAATGGAGAAGAGGAAAACTTTTACCTTTGAAGCATCACCTCTCAAGGTCTATCACCGTAAGGAGGGCCTTCTCCTTTCGGCTCTCAAGAAATAGCCCCATAAATGTGAGACCTCTAAGTTCAACACACCAAGAAAGTGATGGAAAAGATGAGTTATCCCTTGAAAGTATTTGATGCTACGGAAAGGCTAAAATGAGGAGGTTGAGTGAGGAGCTTATTTGAGGAGGTGAAATCTCACCATCAACAACCAAAAACAAAGTACGTGGGGG